TAGAGATTTGGAAGTGTCCTAAAGAAGCTTCCAGGGCATCAGATATTGTATTGGACAATCTGCAGACTTGTTCTCTGCAAACTGCCTCATACAGGAAATTACCAGAATTATTGAGTAAAATATTTTGGTAGTGTTTGCTTGTATTTCTACTATTTTACTGTCTGTAGTTTTGTCTGAAAATTGTATACATCAGAATATAAACATAGTACTTAAATTAGAACATGTTCTCTCTTGAGAGTTTCAACTAGTTAGCACTGGTATTACTATACAGCAGAAATGATAAACTGTTTATTTTCTTGCTGTGATGCAACTGTCTGTAAAGCTATGGCTTGAGAGAGATCTTCAAAGTTCATTAATTTCTTTCAGTGAAAGCATAACCAAGTTGTTGGTAAAGAAAGGATAAAATCATGCTTCCAAGTTGTGATTTTTGTTCTTACTGAATGCTGAGGGGTGTTTGCAGTAACATGCATGGGGCATGTTTCAGAGTTGAAATTCAGAAGTTGTATCAGCCGCTCCCTGTAGTGTTTCTGTAATAGAGAATTTACTGGGTGAAGTTCACTTTGTCTTGGGCAAATAGGAAGCAATGATCACACCTAAACTCCTTTTTGGGGTAAAGTTTGAGTGATTTGTTGCTTAGTCATGAGGGGATCTCTATTCTTTATTAAATTGAAATGGAAAGTGGAGAAGGGTGTGGACTGTGTGCTCAACATTTTTGGGTTCTCAGAGGTTCTAACAGCCTCGACATGTGGGCATTAATAATTAAAGTCTCACTTCAGGAGGCATTTGGTGCCTTTATTTTTCTGAGGTTTTGGTAGGGTTTTTTTGGAAGAAAGATCTTTTACCTTGCTTAGAGAAAACATTCCTTCAAGTTCAGAAAGCTGCCCAAGCTTCCATGGTAACCAACTGTATTTTGTTGGACACCTTTGCAGTTTTTATCTTACCAGAAATGCATTTCCCTGTGCCCAAAACAACCGTTCAGGCAGATCCTCAGAGATCTGTCATCTTTTAACGAGTAGAAAAATCCTACTCAAAACCAGTGACAACGTCAGTACCTTCTGTATGAGTCTGGTGATAACCACGGGATGTCATCTGCTGCATTTCAGTTTATAATGGGACCTGTGTGAAGGGTTTTAGCAAGTCTTGTCAAAATTCTTGTGTGTGATGCAGGAGCCAACAATGCAAGTCAGAACTTGGAAATCTAACAGCCAGAGAGTCTAAAACCACAAAATTCCTCTTATGCCACAAAGCATTGTGGTTCTGGAATTGCTCTGGCTATTGAATCCTTACCTCAGCTATTCCGGGTCTCTTACTGATTTTAAAATATCTTACCTCTCATAGTGTCAACATTTACATTACATCCTTGCATTTGTCTGTGGTTGGAATACAGAAAAGTTTGTATTCAGGTTTCTGCTGTGCTGTCAGTAGTTTCCTCTCTGAAATGGTTAAAAAATTCTTTGCAGTCTTAGCAACTTGCAGCTGATCCTCTCTTGAATTTAGCTGTGAATACAAGTTGCAGCTACTTCTGTGTCTGGAGAACAGGAGAAGTGAGAGTATTGCTGAGTGAATCCCCAAATCTGATTGTGTGTCAAAATTGTTACTTTGGTGGTTTAACAGTTTCTCCCTCAAACCCCATTCCCATCAGGGACTTGAGGCTCTCCCAGTACCTCTCAGCTGAGCATCTTCTCAGACTAAAAGATCAAGCAGTGCCAACTCCTGTAAAACTTAGGAATTTTTCAAGGGACCTGCGTGGCTGAGGTTCAAACAAGTTCTTTCAATCCCACAAGAATATCTGTTGGCTAATTTTTTGCTTCATAGTATTTTACAAGACTTCTGAGTCTGGTAATACTTTAACAGAACTATATTCCATTCTCAGTCACAGAATCACAGAATATTCTGAGTTGGAAGGGACCCACAAGGATCATCAAGTCCAATCCTATGGCCTTCTTGAAGTATATTAAGTATGATCACATATATATATATACACATAGTATATTAATATATTTGTATAATATATGAAGTATATTAATTTCCAATGCAAGCCAACAAAACTTAATTGTTTGCTCATTTTAGAGAATAAGCAGTCACTGAAGGATTTTTGTGTTGAGTTGTCCTTGCATATTTTTAACCTACTGGTGGCCAAATATTCTGTTTGTTCCCATATTTTTCTTGACCAAGAATGGTCAGGTCACTTCACTATGTCTTACTGTGACAGCTGTTTAATGGTAATAATCCCATTTACTTTTTTTATAAAATCCTTTGATTACAAATACATTGTCAAATCACTGTTAAAAAGTGATGGGAGTTAGTTTAATAAAGCCTATTCCACTTCCAGTGTAGCTGACAGTTTTTGAGGAGTGGACAGATTTAAACTGCTTACACTTGACACATGGAAAAGTTATCCAGGTTTAATTGCCTGTGTATTTCTTAAGTGAGTAAAAACCTATTCATTGCATATCCCTCATCCCTTGGCTTTTTTCTCCTTCTTGGTCTTCTGCCTCTGCTACTGTTGTGTTCTGATTCCAAAATGGTTTTCCTTCAGTCTCCCTGTTTCACTACTGTGGTATTATATTTGCACCATAAACTTTAAGTCATGTCCTGTTAGTGAGGGCTTCTGTAGGAACAATTTATCACGCTGTGCTTTCAGGTGAGCTTGATACTCATTGTGTTTAACCCCCAAGGGAATACTCTTAGACAAATTACTTGCATGGAATTCACTTTTACGACATCTTAATAGTGAAAAAGTATATATTGGAGAAAAAAGTATGCTAATGGTCTCAAGAATTCCATCTGTATTTTATCTGTGTTATCCCCTGCAAATCCAGTGGAGATTTTCTAGTGGGGCTTATGAGTCTGAATGTTTTGATCAGAGAAGAATTCTATTTGAATGAAAATACTCGCAGCAATATATGGTGTTTTATTATATTTATTATAAGACTACATAAAATACTGTAATACAACAGGTTGTTTGCTTGGAAATTCCCTCCTTGTGTCAATCTGTGTATTCAAAATGCTTAGTAAGGCTTCTGAGAGCTCTGCTCAGCAGTGCTGCAAAGGAAATCTGAAGTTGTTAAGAAATAGTCTAAAATTATTCATTTTAATAATTTAGGGTTCTTAGTCTCTCAAAACAGTAGTTTGGGAACTTCAAGATATTCTACAAAGACAAAGGAGCATTAAGCAAAGTGAAAGGGAATGAAGGAATCAAATGTTGAAAGTGCACAAGAAATGAAAACAAACCACCTAAAACAGGACACGGTGTGTAAAAACTCAGCCTGTTGGTGTCACCATTCTTTACCAAACTTAGCTGATCACTAAGGCAGGGCTTCTGACTGTAGTTTACCAGGAAAAATATCCAAAGCAATCTTTTTCAGAAATCCATGTATCTTAGAATTGCTTCTTACAAGAAGTGTGTTATGTTTTGACTCGGTGCAGATCGAGCCCCGCTGAGGTCATGGTCTATTTGAGTAAGAGAGAACTTTGAGATACAAGGGTGTGATTTGGTTTTTTCTAATCTCGAATGTGAAGCTTCAGAGCGAACAAAACTCAGGTTTTCATGCATGCTGTCTACAATATGCTGAAAGGAACGTTTGGAGGCCCTTCCCTGTTAAATGTGTGTGATCAGGGTGCTGTGTCTGCGGGCAGTAGGTGTTGGGATGTGGGAAAATTTCCCTGTGGGAAACGCACAGGGAAACCTTCACTTCCAGAGTGAGGGCAGTAAAATTGCAGGGCAGTGGTTAATATGTGTCCTTTGAAGGTTTCACAGTGTGCAGCCGCCTCCAGCTTTTATGTGCCCTTAAGAAAACCAGTCCCTGTATTAAACCATTTCATCCACTGTTCTGATCTGCTCTGAAGAAGAAGTGGTTTGAGAGCACACCTACAGGAGTGAAGAAAACAGAATGCTTTGGGTTTTTTTTTTAATTCCTCACAGAACAACCCAGAGAAAGTGGAAAGTAATTATGTGAAAAATAATGACTGGTCAGTCCCCGTTTCCTACCACCAACGTGCTCTTATGAGGAAGGGCTTAGAATCCAAGAAATATGAAAGATGGTAGCATTACTTTCAATTTTTATTGAAATTTTTCTTTAAAAAAAATATCATCTACTTCTTATCAAAATTTTGGCTACTTCAGAAAAAGAATATAATATTAAAATCTGGAACCGGATATTACAAAAGGTTCTTTTCTACGAACCGAGACATTAAAAACATCTTCAAGAGCCAGAACCCTTTTCTAGGGAAATAAATCTGTTTGTAAACATTTGCTCTTTATATCTGAAAAGAAATTCATATTGAATGTGTTCCTGAACCTCCTTTATCAACATTGTCTCTGAGTGGTGATTTATGACTGTCTAGAAGCGTTCAAATAACTACTAACTGGATATTTTAAAGTTTTGAGAAAGTCTAGTTAGTCACCTAAATGGGCAACATGACCCTAATCCTATACAGTATAAAAAAATCTAACAAATCAACTATGGTACAAATGGATGGAACCTATCACTGTGAGTGGAAAAATAATTTAAAAAAATAAAATGTGCTTAGTTTAAATTAAAAAAATCCATGCAGAAATTAATTACTCATTCCTATAACTCATCAGAATCTGTGTTTGAATACAGGAAGTTTTCAGGGTCATCTAAAACAAACAATTTAACTTTTTTTTTTTTTTTGCCTTGCAATTTCAGTTGGAAGAGAACTTATCACTGCAAAATGATTGGTAGAAAGTCCAGGAACTGTGTATATTTTAAGAAATTTCCTTCTTGCATTGCTGGAATTTTCGTAGCTCCAGGACTTTTATCTGTTTCATTTTTAAAGCTGATGTTTAAAATATCTTTGAATGTTTTAAATGCAGTTAATCAAATAAGACAGGACCAAGTTGAGGGTTTAGTTATATTCCTCTTTTCTAAAAGCTGATCTTGTGGAGGGTGTTTCTGGGGGCACAGTTTGATCTGCTGGGTTTAAACAGAAGAGTTCTAATAGAAACAAAAGTCGATGACATAACCTTAAACCTATATTTTTACATTTAATGTTTTTGTAGTGAAACAATATGAAGAAAAACACTACTGTCATATATTCAGTATATGACATACAGAATCTTATTTATAGTAGTAGAGCCAAGCAGACCTGTTAGTGGCAGAGAATAAATAAAGCCGTGTTTCTAGAGATGGGGGGTTGCAGTGCAGAACTGGAGGGGGGTTATTTGCTCTTCTGTGGCTTAAGGACAACACTGCAGTAGGATCTGATGCATGAAAACGAGTGTGGGGAGAGCTTTCTCGTGTTGATGTAGTTGTTTTCAAGATGCACGTGTTCCAAACGGGAATCTTCATTGTCCTCCTCCTCCTCCTCGCTGTCGTCGTCGTCGCCGTGGGGGGTGCTGCTGCGGTGGGGGGGGGGCGCCCTGGGGGGGGGGGGGGGGGGGGGGGGAGGGATTAGGTTATAATTATTCAAAATAACTCTCAATTTCATCATTTATTTTTGAGTTGCTCTTTATTTAGATATTTGAATATACTAACTTAATAAGTAGATTAAATTTTCTCAATTATATATTTATGGATGACTTTTTAAAAAGTCGTTCTTTTTAAAATTCTCTCCTTGCATTGATTTCTTATTTATAGCATATACTTCGTTTTCCTGAGGGAAGCGTTGGCATGGTTGCTGAATGAAAACTTTCTCGATATAACACATGGAAGATCCTCTGTCTGTCAGTGCTTTGCTTTGCAAACAGCACAGAGGGACTGGAGAGCTCCATAGCTGAGCCTGGCTGGAACCTGCTCCTCCAGTCATTTTGGAATCCTTTGGGCTCTGCTCCAAGAGCACAAAAAGCTGGTGGTTGCTGTGCCTGTCAAAATGTAGCTGCCCCAGGGGACGTGGCCCAAGCACTTTTACAGCTTAATTTCTTGGACAGAACTGTTGTGCCCCATCTTTGTGAGCGTTTTCAGCAACTCTGAGGGAGGGTGAAGTCTCACTTTTATCATATTCTGAAATACTGCAGAGGAAAACTCAGGATTTAGGTCTTCCTTCAGAATATTTTAAAATAAATATTTACTTCAAAGTAGCAAATTTCTAAAGCAAAGGGTATTTGTTTTAATGCCATTAGCCTAACAAAGAGCTTGGAAATTACCTTATTTTGTTGTTGTTCAGTCTCAGAAAACGCAGTTTTCTCATTTCATCAATTCCAAATGGCACAGACTTAAGTTCATTGTGATCCAGAAACAGCTCCCTCAGGGAGTGATATGCTCCAAAAAACGACACCGGGTCTATGCCATCGTCGGTGAGTTTGTTAAAGGACAGGTAGAGATACTCCAGCCCCGGCTTCATGTGGCCAAACACGTAACCTGGGATTCTTTCTATCTGGTTTCCTATAAGTACCAAGTGTAGTAAAGATTTTGGCAGGTAGGAGGGAACATGATACAATTTATTGTAAGAGAGATCGATTGATTCCAAGTTCCTGCATTAAAGGAGAAAAAAAAAAAAAAGGACTGAAAACGCTTGATGGGATTACAGGGGAACTGAATTTCCAAGGGAAATTAGTTTCTGTTCCTGGAACAGAATGCATTATATGGAACATGCTCATGTGTAATTGCTCTGGGAATAGAAGGAATTGAAGTCATGAATTAACAATCAAGCACAATGGTTTTGTTGATGGGAAGAGATCCTCAGTAATGAGCACAGAGGGGCTGAATGGGGGAACCCCGAGGGACTAATTTGGGTTTGCTGCAAAGACGAGTTACACTGAAGAACACGTAATGAGCTTGGGACTTCAGTCATTATCCCGTTAACGGGGAGTTTTCAACTTTGCTCTAAAGCCTATTTGAAATGGAATTGGTTTGTGAATGAATCATCCCCACAGTGCTTCACTTCCAGGGATGAGAGATGCTGTCAGTAGTCACAGCGTGGTTGTTCCCAGATTAAGGAATTTACACATTCAGGGATCAGCTGCCAGGGCTGCGGTGCCAGGTGAGGTACCCAGGTACCCTCTGGAGTTTAGCAAATAATTTGCCAGGAGGATCAAAAGCAGCAGCATTTTTTACTCCTTACATTCTCATTGCTTGCTCTGTTTATATTCTACTCACAGACAATGCATCATATTTATTTTTATGATTTCTAATCTAATGGGAAATAAGGCTAGGACAGTATTAAATTATTTTTTAAATTGCCTGTGAGATAATTATATATCAATACCAAATTATCATATAATTCCATGGAGTATTATTTAGAATTGATGTTCACTTTTTTAATGGATGGTCAGAAAAAATATTGACTTTTATGTTAACATGATACAGACCTTCTAGATTATACAATTAAGAAAAAGCAATTAAGACAAATTAGCTAAGGAAAACACACAAACCAAAGAATAATTACCGGTCTAGGTTAAAAATAATGAAGTGCAAATATTTATTTCATTATCTGACTCACTAGTAACAGAGAAAAATAAAATAAATGTCTTTTAAATGATTGCTACTTACTCTTGGTTTATCCAGGCCAAAGGTGCTATTCTGTGCTCTTCTAATTTGTTATGCTTTAGCCCAATGACATTGATGTTTCTTGTGTGGTTAAAGCAAATTTCTGACACTTCTTCAATTTGATTATTTTCAAGATACAGCTCCTGTAAATGCATTTGGGAAGAAAATTTGTGAGGTTAAAATATACTGGTTTTCCCACTCCAAATTCAAAATGTAGCTGTTACTTGCCCCCCACATTCCCTGGGATATCTGCTAATTCCTGAATCTGAACCAGAGGCAGTTTGTAGCTGGAATGTGACCTTCAGGAACACAATTTTTCAAAGCGGTTGTTTCGTTTTCTCATTTGTGAGAATACAGGTTGCTTCGAAAGGTCAAATTGAAAAAGAATTGTATCTTTTGGGGTCTTTTTGGGTTGTTTGGTTTTTTGGGTTTTGCTTGGTGGTTTTTTTGATCGGTTGGTTGGGCTTTTTTGGTTGTTTTGTTTTCTTTTTACCTCGAGAGTGGCAGGAAGACCTTGTGGGATAATTCTAAATTTATTTCTTCCCAGTCGCAAATAACAAAGACTTTTCAAAGGATAAAAGGCCAAAGGACTGACATTCGCTTCACTGAGTTTATTTCCTTCTAATTCCAGAGTGACCAAGTCCTTTAAACCTGAGGAGAAAAAGTCAGAATTTCTGTTAGTTAGTGCCATCTCATGTCTTGTTAAAATGCACGTTTGTAACGTAAAAGTGTTAAACACCACTCAGAGGAGTTCACAGCAATGAAAAATGTGGTGAAGGGATTTCATTATCTCATAATCATAGAATTATATTGTTTATAACTTTGTAGAGCTTTGGAGATTGAGCACAGCTTTATTTATAGTTTCCTCTCCCGGCTGGGATGGAAAGGGCGGCAGCTGCAGCCCTTGGATAGTGCTCCCATTTCTCCTGGTTGTGCAGCTGATGTCCAGGGCCCTGTGTGGGTGCTGACCTTTGTGCAGCTGCCCAGGGATCCCCAGGGATCCCCACGGGGCTCCAGTCACCGATGGGACAATGGGAATGTTCTCTTCCCTCGGGCTCATGTGCTGAGAGCCCCCAATGGATTATCCTGTTCCTCCTCCTCAGCATCCAAGTGCAGGGCACAGGGAGAATCAGTGGGGATCAGTGCATGTTACCAGGACATATTATTTCAGAACAAAAAGTTTCTCATTTGCAAATAATCCAAATCACTTCCTTTCCACAGAAGGCTTGTATTGCTCCTCCTGACAGCGCAGTTTGGGGACTTTAAACTAAAAGGCTCCTGCAGCCCTTGGCCTAAGTTTTCTTAGTCTTTAGATTGCTCCAGAGTGAGCTGTGGCACTAAACTGATCCAGTTTAGATGGGACCCTGTTGGCAGGAGATCAAAGGATAAAAAAGTCCATCAAATTATGACATGCATAGCCCCCTTTCTTTTTTCTTTCTTTTTTTTTCTATCAACTCATGTTTAACTTGCCTTAGAATGATCATGGTTAACTCCAATTATATTCTACTTTATTTTTCACACATATCAAATTCCATTCACTTTAATGCAATTTAAAACTGATTAGTATATTTTCACCACACATGATGCCATCAGGTCACAGATCAGGAGAGTAAATATCTTCACCATATTTCAAATCCATCTCTACTTAGTAACCTTAAATATAAACTTCTCTGGGAGAGGAGCAGTTGCATAAGAAGGGAAAATGTAATTTTAAAAAACTTCATCATGCAAATGTTTCAGCTTTTGTTGCCTTTTGAAACCAGGGCACACAAAGCCAACAATTACTTTTCTGCCTATATCAAACCAGATGCATTTGGTTGAACACTCTCCTTTTCAAATTCGTTTTAAGCTTTTCACATGATCAGTATTAGTTTTCTAAATACCTTTTAAGCCATCTTCATCAATGGCATGAAGGTGGTTGTCATTTATTTTTATTTCTTCCAAAGTTGATGGCAGTTCAGAGGGAATATGGACCAGCAGATTTCCATCCAAATACAAACGTTTCAGCTTTTTCAGGATCTTAATCATAGGGATGAAGAAGAAAACTTAGATTATCCAAGTGTAAAATATATAGTTAAATATACAGTGTAATCATAGTTAAGTTTTTCTTACACGTGTTTTTTTGAAGATTTTCAGCAGCAATGCACTAGTATCTAGAGTCTAATTAATTGGTTTCTTTCTGCTAAAGATATATAAATGTGCCAGTTAATGCCATGTGTAACTGGAAGGGTTTGATTGAGCACATCAGCTCCCACAGCCATCCAGCATCACTGTTTGCATCATTGCTGCTCCCTGTGAATCCTGTAGGCATTGCCTCACTACAGTACACAGCATTTAGGGGTTCAAAATACAAACATATATAAGTAATGTGTTTATACTCTTCATTTGTGGGCAAATCGATGCTTTTCTGTCGGTCAGCAAATTTACTCAGGCAGAAGGACAGCAACTCTTTCAGTGACTGAGGATTTTTGTGACTGAAGTCAGCTTAAAAAACTGGTATGAAAAATTATCACAGGTTCATTGTGATAAATGCACATCAGTGTCATGCAGTGGGGGCATTTCTTGAAGAGAAGGTGGGGGTTTAGCAGTGGGTCCAGCAAAGCCTTTTTTTCCTCCAGTTGGGTGTGAACTGCCTGGTGTGATAAAAGCTTCACTGAAATTTATTTCACACTTGAGACACCTTCCTGGTCTGTCTTTGGCATCCTCTTTGATTTCATAGGAACTGAAGCCCTGTGAAATCAACCCAGTCTGTTCCTGTTACATGGAGGGAGGTGTTGGACACAGTCCTGCAAGAAGGTTGATTGCACATGGCAGGAAACAAAATTAGAAAAATACCGTGATAATCCAATTTGTTGTCCGGATGCCTTTTGTATTCATCTTGCCTGAAAAAGCAAGGCCTTAATGCCTGACTTCCACAGCTGAATTACCACCTGAATTACCTGCTTTGGGAGGAGTTATTACGGGGTTATTCTGCCTTCAAGTGAGGAATATGTAGGTGCACTTGAATATCCTGTTGTCACTTAAATTCCCTTGGCAAGGAAAAGTGTGAATATTGAAAGGCTTTGGACAGTTTAATGAGAAAGCTGTTCTTTTAATAAGCAGCTGTGCTTGAAAGTTTCTCCTTAATGTAATGAGGAAGAGGATACATAAATTTACAAGTGTTGAACCTGAGTAACCTGGGTGTGTTCAGTGGAATTTGAGCCCTTCAGTGCTGAAATCTCACAATTGCAATTGATGCAATATCAAAAAATTGCCTGTCTTGTTGTTTAACATTTAATACTTGGTGAATGTAATTTATAAATTCCTAGATATTCTTGATTATGATGAGAAATTTATTGGAGTAGCCAGGTTTAACTGTATTGTAATTATAGAATGGTTACTTGTAAGAGGTGCAAACTGGTTTAGATCCATAAACTGAAAAGCAGGAAAAATGTTTCTTTAAAGGAGTAATTAGTGAGAGGATGGTAGAAGAGTTAAGCTTTCTTACTTTGAATGCTTTTGGACCTATGCCAGGAGAGGTAATATTATTTTTACTCAGATCAATCCATTCCAAGTTAGGTATCCCGTTGAATGCTTCATCTGAGATAGTGGTGATGCTGTTTCCTAGGACAGAATTCAGGAAAAAGGTTTGAGTTATGAAACACAGTCTGCATCTGAATTGTGTAGTATTGTACATGGAAAATATGTTACAGAAATAGTTGTGTGCAGTAATCATGTGGAGATATGTTCATAAAACATTAGTAAGCAAATTTGGCATTTTTAATTTATTGTTTTGGAGGCTTAGCTGTAAAATTCAATCCAATACATTTTTATGATAAGGAGCAAAAAAGTATTACAGTTCTGTTGACTGCATTTGAGTATGAATAATGTTATGGAAGTCATGCAAAGTAGACCCATTAGTTACCTGTAAGGTCTAAACTTGTGAGATCTGGATCTGAGATTGGTGGTATTTGTGTAAGTTTGGCATTAATGCAGCTTACTGTGGTGTCTGAGGTGGAACATCCAGATGGCAAAGGAGGAGCTTCCACAGGTGGAACAGGAATTGGGAAATGAGGTGGAATTCGGAAAGGACCATCATCTTCCTCACTGTCAGAATGCAGTTCTCCTTCTGCAGCTCCTGTTCTTGTGCTGGGCCTCTTTCCTCTGCGATGGCCTTTGTGCTTCTGGCGATTCCTTTTGCCTTTCCTTTTTCTTTTCTTTTCACCCTTTCTGTGACCCTCCTTAACCTCTGTCACTTCTGTTTGAAGCAGTTCATCCTTTCCAGTCTGAGTCCTTGCTGATGGCAAGACATTGGTGGTATCAAGGTCGTTGGGTTCTGGAGAGTCTCCAGACAACTCACTTATGTCATCCAGTGAAATAATACTTGAATTCAAAGAGGAGCCTGAGCAGAGCAATGAGAACATAAAAAACCAAACCAAACCAACACAAAAGAGTCTGGTAAGAAACTAAAATTTTAGTGAACGTTGTGTCCCACATATAGTAAATATATAATGGCTATAGAATAGGATTCCTCTTAGAATATGGTTTGAATGAATGAAAATATGGTCTTAGATTGCTGCTTGACAAAAGAGAAATACTGTACTGAGAAATGGTTGAGCACTACAGAACAGTTTGTACACAGGTGTGATATATGGTAGCTCCAGAAGGAAGGTGGGAAAATTATTATAGCCTTCATTAGCTTCCTTTCTGACCTAATATTAGTTAGTTTTTTGTGTTGAGGGAGGAAAAATAGTATGTCTGGGAGCGGGAGGTAATTTGGATAAAATTCACAAAGGTTAAGGCTTGTTCTTTGCAAGGGACTGTCAGGTGAGGAGTTGGCTGCAGGTGGGGATCTCACCAGGGAGATGCATTAACTCCATTACCAAAATGCAGTTTTTACTTGCATAATAGGGTAATTCTAATAAAAGGAGTTTAATTGTTTCAATCAGCGTGACTTCTAGTTCTACAGTTAATTCCTGTGGTGTCTCATCTCAGAGTATTTCAGTGTCACATGCACACACACACAAGGCTAAATAACATTATTATGGTAAGAGCAGGTTGAGTTCAGTACTTTGCGGACATAAGATACTGGGAGTGGGGGGAGGAAATCACATTTCATCTCCTCCATTCCTTTTCTTTTCAAAAGTACTAATTTTATTTAAATATTGTTAGAGAAGCAAGATCATGATTCTGTTGCTCCTCTTGTGAGTTAACTTTCATATCTTGGTTTATGTCAAATAGCTGCACGTTTTTACACTCGTGGCAAAGATCGACCAGTCTGTGTGTCTAATACATTAACAATGGCCAGTAGTTGCTGATTAATGTGTTCCATACCAGTATCAGAGCAAACTGGGCAGCATTCCCCTTCGGGTATGACGGTGTGGGGACATTTCAAGGGGTGGCACATGGTGGTGTCACAGATCACCTCTCCCTGGGAGCAGAGGCAGGTGACGCAGGGCCTGGGAGACCAGACGGCTTTGTCGAACATGATCATCCCGTTAGCTGAGCACTGCCCCTTCTTCCCTGGGGACAGAACACGGAGAACTGGGGTCAAACAGCTTCAACTGAAAGCAAACCAACAGTGTTCATTTAAAGCTTTGGAAAGAAGCACTGCTACTGGGGGGCTTTTGCGTGGCAGCTCCTCTTTCCTCTCCACCCTTAGCAGAAATCACAGATCTCAGTGGAAGTTGTGCACAGATACAGTTGAGAAAGAAGCAAGTTTTCCTTGTAGTTAAAATAAGTCATGCAGGACTTGAATATTTTTACAGACCTCCTTCTGTTTCTCTGTTGTTCACTAGACATTTTTTTCTAATACCTTGCACATTAAATAAGACAGTTTTGTTAAGGCTCTGTGGAACCAGGAAAGTAACAATATTTAAGTTATAGTGACTCTTCATAGGCTTGATGGAAGTCAAGTCCATTCTGTGGTGACTGGTGGGATGGCAAACATCTCCCCTTCCCTGTAATTTCCTTTATCTGAAAAAACCCTGTTTACTAGGAAAGTAGCAAGCTAAAATAACTTGTGCTAATAAATACTGCCTCCAAAGTTTCTGGGCATTAATCTACAAAAAAAAAAAGAGGCTTCCCCAGGTTACCAGTTGAAATGTTCAGAAAGAAACGAAGGTTCCTTTTGTAAGCTCTACCCAGATATTCAGTAGGAAAGACATTTGGAGGTGTAAAGACTTGGGAAGGAAACTAATCCCAGTCCCTTTCCTTCCAGTGATGGAGTTTACCCAGCAAAGCTTTCCCTGGGCAGTTCTCACCCACAGGATAAACATTGCACTTTAGCATAATGCTTTTCTTTTTGATGTTTTAAGAAAAGGAAAGCCAAGGCTGAGATTCTTCATCCCTTGCAGATCTTCCTATTTTTGAGTGCACCTCTAAATGTGGTGAGAATCTGACCTCCCTGCCTACCTTCCTTTTCCTCTGTAGTTAAGCTGAGAATGCATTGCTGAAGTGTTGTTTCAAGCTGAAAAACCATTTCTAAGTTACTTTTTACTTCCCTGGATATAAAGAAAAAAATGTCCTCTTTTCCTATTCAGTTTGACTTTCTCCTTCTGATGAAGGCTGTATAATGCAGTGGCAAAACCTTATCTCATCTGAATTTGCATGCCAAGTGTATCATTTGTGATACACTAATTGTCTCTAGAGGGGTTGTTTGCAGGGTTTGTTTTCCCACACTCCACCCTGGTCCTCAATTTTAAGAAGAGTGTACAGGATAGCCTCAAAATGTCCTTGAAAGATTATTGTAAATGTTAGGTTTGAAGTGTCTGTGGAATTAATATTTGTCTCAAAATGAGGCATTTTGCAAAGTCCTTCAGGGCAGTCATACTGTCACCTTCATAACAAAGGTCTTCTTTTGCCCTTCTATTTAAAGGCCATTGGATATGAACCTGTTTCTAGAACAAAAATTAATTATCAGAATTATCCAGTTTGGATGTTCCTCGATATTTTGTATATTTTTAAAAATGTTTTGATTTAAGTTACTCTCAGGATGGAAAAAGCGATAAATTAATGTTTTGAACAGTTGCATCTTGTTTTTTTCAGGGGTCTGGAATATCTGTACTTCATTTCAGCCACATAAAGTTGTGCTCTAATCTACTCCACGTTAAGTGGAGGAGGAGAGGCCCAGGCCAAGTGTTAGTTGGCTCTAAGTCCCTTGTCACTCTACCCAGGTATCTGTAATCCAGCTGTTTGCTGGATCCTGACTTCTGGTTTTTATGTGCTTGCCAGGAAGCCACAATATTTCTTTTAAATAATCTCCAAAGGAAACACAAAAAGAACGCTGCACTTTCTCATGTTAAACAATAAAGCATCAGCTGTTCCAGAGGAGCATGATCTGGCTCGAGGAGGTAATTATTCTGTGCTTCCTAAAATTCTTTAGGTTGTTTTAGCTGCTAGACTGCATCTGAAGTTGGTGCAAATCTGTCTGAATAAGCATAAAGATATGAGTTATCAGGCTTGGCCTCTGCAGAGGTCTGTAACAATTTATCTTGTTTTCTGTGGACATGGGAGTTACTTTATCTGGCAGGACACGGGTGTGCTCAGAGGCAAAGAGGGACCTTGTGGTGCATTGCAGATCTGCTCTTTGGCGTTGTGGAATTCACATAAAACTCTTGTGGGACACAGTAAAGCCTGGGCTGAGATGCTCCTTAAGTTTCCTGGCCCCTGAGTAACTTCACAGGATGGTACAGGGAGAAGTGGGGATCAAGAGGTGTTGGAAATAGTGCAACAGTGAACATCCTATTCTGCTCTGCTTATTGGACAGGCTGCAAAGGACAAACAACTGCAAATGTTGTGGTGAACTATTTGATTTAATTTAAATACTCACGTGATTTTTACCTGGAGGAAGGAGATATGTCTGGTTACTGTAAAACCTTCATTTAACTGTTAATTTTCATTCTGCATAAATCTGTAAGATGGTGGTTTTTTTTTTTCTTTTTAGGCTACTAAGAGCAAAACAAGTAGCTAGGATAGTTGAAATTGAGGTTTGGATTGCATTTTCTTCTATTCTGGAGCATGATTAATAATAGTGTTCTATTATTTAATAGGCTCTGTTTTTTCCAAATCTGACATGAACTTGAAAAAATTTTGAACTTTAAAAGCTAGACTAAAAAATACCTTGTGGTTCAAGTCTTTGGCAGATGTGCACAGGACTTTTAACCTTTGGAAATATGGTGTAAATTCAGCGTGAAGTTCCAAATAAAATGAGTTCAGTGGTTTTAGCTCAGCTTTTGGATGCAAATCCAGATAGAGAGAAACAAGTGGGGTGGGGAGGGGGAAGAGCTGTGCATTATTTCAGCATGACTGATGGTCCTGACAGAGACACTGGAATATCTTACATGGAGTGTGTGCTACTTATGTGGTATTTTCCTCTATTTAATTTTAAAAATATTTTTAAATTAAAGGTTTGACGTTAGTAATATGTATAATATTGTAATACACACTGGAAATGCCATAGTCAGGAGTTTTGCTAGTTTGGCCATTAAAATCCCTGACTTTAAAGGACTTTATTTCAAACAGTTCAGCCGTTCTGAAAGTGAGGACTCACAACAAATAGTAATTATTAAGAGAATGCAGCTAAAATGTGTTTGGCCATTTGAGAACTATTAACCTGGTGGACATGCCTCTTGTGAGACACACTGAAAGGCTTAACTTTGTGCATATAAAATAGGTTATTATCACTTTATGCAGATTAGTGGTTATCAGGACATTCTACTTTTTTTCCATAAAGTTCATTCGATTGCACATGATGATTTCACTTATTGTGTGATCTCCTGGGGCTGGAATGGAAGTATCCATGTCTTTATTAGCTGTAGAGTGGATACAACCTTGTATTGAGTCCTCACAAAATCCCATTGTCTTTCTTTTCTTCAACCCTCAAACTTCCTTCTATGAAAAGAAGTGTTGAACATCTCAGTAATTTTCAACTGGTTAATAACTGTGGTTTCAAAATTGGGAAGTACTGATAGTGGAGTTCAGAAGTTGTTATTTTCAGAAGGGATCACTGGTTGTTAAACTTAATTTCCTGCTTTGTGAGTCATAATTTCCCATTTGTGACGTTGAACATAAAATCACAACATCCTAGAGCAAGAGTTCTGACTTTTTTGTTGCACTAAGAACCAAAGAGACACTTAACAACTATCAGTTCTCAATCCCTGACTAGTCTTGTATTCTTTGAGGAGATTTAGAGAGGCCTGACACAATTACCAAGACAGGTTTCAGTAAAGATCAGTGAAATTATACTTTCTACCTGTTTGTTTTTTAAGGCATCAAATCCTCTTCCCTCTCCTTCAAAAACCATAAAATATATATTAGTGCAGCAATGTGAGAACCTCTAGATCACCGAAAAGGCAAGTTTTGTATAAATCATACTGTTGAACTTCTCTTAAGTAAATTTGGGGTTTCAATACAGATGGAACATGGGTGATCTTGTGTTGAATGACTGGGGTTTTTCTCTCAGCTCAGTTTTCTAATGCAGGTTTCATATTGCAACTCTTGCTGTGTGTTATTAAGTTATTTACAAAGTAAAGAATTACTCTTGAAATATTGCATGTAGACATGGTTTGAGTGCTGCCTATCAAAAACACAACAACAAAAAATAATAGAACTTAAATTCATTTTGATTAACACTGGTGTTATTGGTATTAATTCCTCCGTGAAATGTTAATTGACTTAGGAGATATGTCAAGCAATAAATTCTTCAAAATAGTCTTCAAGCTTGTTACACATTTGAAATTATGAAAATATCCCAACAAATTTTTTATTAGATAAGATCAAACGATAATGCAAAAAAATTGTGGAAAATATTAGTTACCTGGCAAAGCAGGATTTAACTAAAAAGCCTCATATGCCAAACCACAAAATTACTGTGAAAGGCCACAGCTCTTTAAAGAATTTATATATTTCATTTAAAATCAAGAGAAAAATGAGCCCACCCTGAGCAGCAGAGGGGCTTTGCTCTCTTACCTGGCAGGACACTGTAACTGGACTCGTGTTCCCCCAACCCTATGAGAGAGTCAAACACTCCCATGACGCTGTCGTCGATGTTAATGAGGGGTATCCCGGGCACAGCGGGCTCTGGGACCTCCATCCTTGGCTGCCTCGGGATCCTGTGCCCTGCCAGGGAGCCCCTTCCCAGGCCTCGGTGGTGCATCCTCCTGCTGTGCCTCCCGGGAAGGGCACTGCCTTCACTGGGACAAAAATCAACACACAGGGAGACGAGCAGGAAAGAACAGAGCAGTGGTGTCGCCTGCATGGCCTCGTGTGTCCCAGAGAGTATCCTGGAACGGGAAAAAAGAGGAACATTAGATACCTGCAGAGCTGTCAGGACTGTGGCAATCATAGGGCACTTCTCAGAGCAGGTGGAGCAGTACATGGGAGGTATAACCAAGCTTCCCCTTGGGAAGAAATTGCCCTGTGAGGCCTGAAGTAACTAACCTGAATTTAGTGGTTCTCTGCCCTCACGGGCAATAGTCAAACTCAAAGAGGTGCTGGCTTTGGGGTTGCATTTGAAGAGGTGGTTTGGATTTGCAGGGCCAGCAGGCATTTGCAATTCCATAATTGTTAGTGCTCCCAGCAGTGGAGCTCTTGGGAATTCTGTAAGGTGTTCCTTCCCTTTTTTTGATTGCTAATATTTCTTCCAGGTCATTGTAACTTCTGAACATGGGAATGGCAAACTAACAGAAAAATGCCATATTTATTTCTGATGTGGTGCCCCAAATGCTTTTGGTTTGGCATTTCTGTGTAAGGGACTTTTCATCATAGATGAAGAGATACCTTCCGTTTCTGGCCATCCTCTTCTCCAACAGGATCTGTTTGGTTCTGCAGAGGAGACCTTTGGGAAGTTTGGTCACAATAGTGCTATTTCCCCATTGTATTAAGCATAGGCAATCTAAAAAGGTTGATCTATAATGGGTTGTGCTCTGCATTTACTTTTTAAGAAAATCAAAACAATTGTGTATCTTGAGCCTTCTTATGCTCGTGACAGAAAAATTACATTTACTGTCACCAATAGGTGGCATTCCAAAACAGAGCAGCCAGGATTCAGGAGTGTGCAGAGGAAGCATATCCAGCAGGGGATTTGCTACACCAGTGTGGAATTAGGGCCCTGCATGTCCGAGGTTATCAATGATTTGTCAAAGCTCTGTTGCACAATTCTTCCATAAAGGAAATGCTCTTGGCCTGTGGCCTATTTTAACTGAGACAGCAGGGACAGAAAACACTCGTGTTCTTGTGGTGGTGAGAATTAGAGAAGAACCTGAGGCTTGGAGCATTTCATCTTTGTGGCCAAGACAAGGCTTAGAGCATGTCCATGGTTCTTCTCTAAGGAAGCCTTGAGGGGATTAAAAAATGCTTTTTCCTGATGTTCATCAGTCTGGCTTTATATGTCAACTTTATATTTTATAAATGCAAGGTATTTTCATTTCAGGAGCTGGAACTGTGGTTTTGCCTGCATCAGATTTTGTTCAAAAGCTTGTTCATCTTGGTATTTATATAACAGATCAAATTTTTGGTACAACTTTTGGTTTATACCTAGCTGTTCTTTAACATAAGACACACGATTGATTGCATATTTTTCATACTTTCTTTTTATTCTCACATTTTAAAATGGGAAGTTGGGAGGAAATAAGCTGAAGACAGTATGCATTTTACTTCTTTTTAATATTGTAGTTTCTGTGCTCAACTATTTTAGCTTTAAAATGTTATAGCAAATCTAGATATTAATTTGCAGAATTTGAAGTTAATGTTGTTGTTTCCATATAAAGGAGATTTGAAATGCAAATGTCTCACACAAATCCTCACAGCATCTCATGTAAGGACAAGGTTCTGAAATGAACCCAGGCTTCAGTTTGCTGCTTGCTACCCATCAGAAATCAGTCATTCCAAAATGCCAGATAGACTCTATACTGGGCTTTTGTTTACAGAAATCACTGTTAATTAACGTATCAAATAGATGCAGGAGCTTGTGCTCTGCATTGAAAATGCCTGTTCTTGTTCAAAAAGTGCTTATTTCTGAGCACCTCAGGACAAATGACCTCATGCTTTGGTTTCTGTCTTACTTGGTAATGACGGGCTATAAAATTACACAGTAAACTTGTGTTCCACAGCTTTGGCTGACACACACAAAGAGCCCTCGGGGAAAAGGGAATGTAAAAAGAAAAGTCTTGGACATGTGTGTTCAGTCTGTCGAGTTACTGACATCTTAATTATGGGCACATTTTTCTAGGATACTTTATAATCACGCTGCAGTTACAATGCTGCTACATTACAATTGGGCTTTTTTAACATTTAACCATTTCTTCCTGTCACCAGAGGCACATAATGGCATGACTGAAATACTTTCCCATTTTCCCTGTATTTTTAGAAGTCAGGAATAATATAGGGTGAATTACATTATATTTACTGTACAAAAGATGCTTCGCTGTGAACTTCAATAAAAGGTAAAATTCTGTAGTAAATCATATTATCTTAAAGTGACACATCTTTTTATAAAATACTTTATAAGTACGAGTAAAAAAACCTCAAAAACAAAATAACAGAAAATACATACCATACCCACCCAAATAATATGTCTTTATAAACTAATCCTGTTCATATATGTGAGTTTATATCTGTATTTTCACACCAATTTAACTCTTCAGTACCGAAAGCTTAATATTGCTACTTTCAGCCAAATGGAGTTCTCTGCATGCAAAACACTGGGCTACTGAGTTTCTTTCTTTGGCTCATTTAACAAGTGCTGTCTCACATTTTAAGGCCCAAATTGTGAAAGCCTTAAGGGCACTGGGCCTTTCCTGGCCATGACTGGGATCCTCGGATCATTTCTCAGGAATTTATATTTAGTACACGGCCAGCCAACTCTTGATTTGGGGAAAATTCAGCCTATTCAACTTAGGATTTTTGTAATAAATGATTACGTAGTAAAATAAAATTATAGGTAGCCAATATAATGAATTTATGATATGTTTGTGTTGCCAGATGCTCTCAAGATGGCTGCATTGCTATACTTTTTTTAATTTTACCCCAAGTGTTTAATCAGGCACAGTATGTGAAGGCATCTTTATTATCTTTTTTACCATGTGTTCAGTAGTTTGTAGCTTTCAAAATGTTTATCTTCAGTAAGTTCAACTGTTCTGTTAATGGAAATAGTTAATTTCTAAAGGAGAGACCCTTTAGAAATCCCAGAGTATCAGAATTTATTAAATAATCCATTTTTATCTACTCAGTCTAAATTCAAACATGTTTCTAAGATGTCAGCATTATTTCTCATGACATACAGGGATTAAAGTGCTTTACCAAGATTTTTCACATACTCTTTAAATTTATTGCATAGAAAAGAGTTACATTTAGCCAAAAACTAATTGCACTTCCCATTAAAGTTGGTTGTGCGTGGCAAACATTAACACAGAACAAGCAGATCAACAGGTACTGCACACTACATCCAGAAAAGCATTTCTGTCCAGTATAGCTAAACATAGCTCACGTTATTTCACACATATTTGCAAAGTTAACATGAAGTTTAAGCCATTCAACACCATGCTTTAAGCAGTAATTTAAAATGTAAAACATTTTACCTTGTAATCTAACCTAACAGCAGATTCTGCTTGCTGTCATTTAGTCTCCCGCTGCAAATGAAACAGAACCACAGTGATATCTTTAAAACAAACAGAGAAACGGTTGGGATTGTTGAAACGTGTGAGATGATTCCTTTAGTTGGGTCTGGAATAGCTCCTTTCCCTGGGGGCAAACGCTGCTCAGTTCTGTGTGCAGAGGATCAGCCCGTGCCGGTGCTCGGAGCACTCAAACCTCACTCAAGGCAAAGGAAAAGCAGCACAATGTGCTCGGTCCGGAGGCTGACAAGGCACAGCTGGGAATCCTCTGCCAGCGCTTACAGTTGCATAAAGGAACAGGAAAGTGGAGTGTTTTCAAAAGAAACAAACAAACAAAAAAATGTGTATTTTATTCTGTTCTGGTTTATGGATTTAGAGGTTTAGTTTCCAAGTGGTACGGCTTTAATGTAGATTTATTTAAAAGAATAAGATATAATGCAGTTTGGAAAACGTAACCTTTTTATTAAAGTTAGAACTTTTTTCTTCAATTCATATTTTCTTAATCCACTCCTGCCCTTCAAGCCTGTAATCTATAGGCAGCAAACCTTTCTGTTGAAGTTTTAGCCTGGAAAATGCTTCTTTTGTCCACTTACAGCAATGATTTCACCGTAAGTTGTAGCTTATGGATGGAAAATAAAACAACCGAAGCACTTTCCCTTCATTTTTTTTTCCTTTGTAAGGCTAATTACATCCTGAAACATGATCCTGAAGCACAGCTCTGCAGAGCTGCAGTGAAGTTAGGAATCCAAGTAGGAGAAGTGAGCGTGAGGGAAGGGAGGGAATAATGGTACGTTACCAAAAGTCCTTGTTGTGCCAGCAGAGCCTTCTCCTGCATCCCCAGATATCGCGTCTGCGGTGTCCGGGTGGGATGAGTGGGATGGTGGGTCTGCTGAGCTTCAGAAATGACAAATTTACCTGGGAGGCAGAGTTGTCTGAGCTCTTCTGACATTAAAAATTTGTCGTTTGGTTGAACTCACACTCTGAGGAATATTTAGACAGATAGTCATGGACTGGTATAACCATTGAGTTGACCATAATTGTTGGCAGTATGTGGTGGAAAGATACTGGGAAAACACATTGTCTCTTAAAATAGTCATTCACTTCCTACTGAGCTCTGCTGTGCAAAGGCAGAAGAAGGAATATTAAACTTTTGTAGTTTATCTGGAGCTGTTTAAAAGGAATGGAGACAATCACACTTAACAAATGGAGATGGCATCTGAAATGAGGGCACGGCTCAGGACCTGTGCTGAAAGCATTGGGCTGTAAAGGGAGAGTTGAACAGTTCTTTGAAAACAAGTGTGGAAAAGAGCAGCAAATTAGATCATCTTGTCAGGGTTGTGCATGTCAGGTGAAAGACTTTATGTTGTTAAATGATGGTGTATTTATTAGAGATAAAAGTGGTGGCATTCACTTCAGTGTATATTTAAATGCAGCTTCTTATGCTTCTGATGCCTTTGTGCATGTGAAGCTCTGGTTCAGTGCATCTGCTTTGGATGTGGCATCTCTGACCATGAATTCTAGTAGATCCTTGAAGCTGGATTTCTTAGCTTATGTCATCTCTGTAATTTTTGAAAGGTCAGTGTCTTTCAGCAGCTTTCCAGAGCTGAGTGGGACACAGTCTTGTCTCTGCTAGATCATACAGTGAAAACCCTAAATCCTCTAAGCAGACTGAAGGATCTCTGAAGGTGTTACTGATTCTATACCTCTCTTATGAAGACAGGTTGAGAGAGTTGGGGCTGTTCAGCCTGGAGAAGGGAAGGCCTTGAGGAGACCTTAAAGCCCCTTCCAGTGCCTAAAGGGACTCTGAGAGAGCTGGAGAGGGACTTTGGACAAGGGTCTGGCGTGACAGGACAAGAAGGGGGAATGACCTTAAGCTGAGGAGGGCAGACTTAGATTAGATATTAGGAGGAAATTCTTCCCTGTGAGGGTGGGGAGGCCCTGGCACAGATTGCCCAGAGAAGTTGTGGATACCCCATCCCTGGAAATGTTGAAGGCCAGGTTGGACGGGGCTTGGAGAGACCTGGGCTAGTGGAAGTTGTCCTGCCCATGGCAGGAGGTTGCAAGGAGGTGATCTTTCAGGTCCCTTCCAACCCAAACCATTCCATGATTCTATGAATCAGTGAGAGTCCTGGAAGCATCATAGTTCTGGTGGTATCCATGTTTAGCCTTCCTTTTGGCTGCCTTTAAGCCACCTTTCTCCTTAACATGCAGACCAAAATGAAGTTTCTCCGATATTGTATCTGGTGCCATTTAAAATATCTAAACAAAAGCCTCTTGTGCTGAACAAATAAATAATATCATCTGTTCTCCTTCATCCCTCTAATTACCTGGAACCAGTGTGGCTTTGTGATCTTGGTAGAGCCTGCCATTAGTATGAAGCAGAATATGCCTGGGAGGCCCTTGCTTATCTTTTGCTCCACTTTTATTAAGGAAGAAATAAAGGCAGTTGGAGGGATCTGCAAAGACACAGTTCCCTCTTCATGAAAATTGCATTACACCTTCCTACAATGAGCAGTGATACTTGAAAATTGTATGAGCTGTTAAAGACCAACCCATTGTTATGTGGTATCGGGAGGGTTTGGGATTTTTAGTTTGGAAAACTGTTGTCTGAGAATGGATATCATCTGCTACATTTCAATAATTAGATATTAGTTTTAATTTTGTTAAATATTGTTTTAATACCGTTATTTACATTAAAATCTTCCACACAAACTTGCCTGTCATAATAACTAAAGAAAAAACACTGTATATTCTGCTAAACCTTCAGACCGGGATGTCCTTGCAAATGATTTTGGACATAGGCAGTTCAGGCAGTTTCTGTTTGAGTGAAAAACACTGCTGTATCCTCAGGGATCTAATCCTTGCTTGTGTTTATGGGAATAGTTGACTCTGAGAGCAGAGCCAGGTGCCAATATCTGCTTCATGTGCGTGTACTTTATGCCTGTCTATCCCACATGCATGGCCAGGCACTGGAGTGAGTTGTGCAATGGGAATGTTACAGTCTGTTAAGGTGCCTTAATGTGGAATGGTCTCCTTTGAGGGAAGAAGAGACACAGAGTAAACAGTGACTAATAATTAGAGTAACTTTTTATTACTTTATGTCTTAGGACAAACTGCCACTGTTGCTTCGTGTTTTGAGCAAGAGCCATAGGATGTGAGAAATGGATGTGAGAACCTGGAGCCTCTGGCATGGATTCTTCTTAAAATATAGGCTGATCTCTTTTCCTTAAAGCTTGTTATTTGTAAAGGGACAAGGCTTTCCCTCTTGCTTTGCTGAAATTGTGGAAATTGTTCAAGGGAATCTTCTTCCGTCAAAAAGAGGGATTAGAATTTGGGTTGGCATCAGGCTTGTTTATAGTGGTTACAACAGCTTCTCATAACATCTCTCACTGGGCCTATTAGATGACAACCAGTAGTGGCAAAGGGGTTTCGAGCAATTCAATACAGTTGGAATAAATTTGTTTTCTATCTCTTCCTCAAAAGACCTGCTTTTCAGACACGGATCTAAATCTCACTTCTGTGGATCCCATGAGTTCAGGCAGCAACACTCCTGGACCCCACGCTGGTATAAAGTTATGTTTTTTTTAATTCTAGGTATTGTTAGTAATTGTAATCTGTTCACTGTTCCTGCTGGAGTTTTCTGATCTGTCGCCACATTAAGTAGAAATAAAGAATTAGAATCTTTTAAAAACTATACTGGGGGGGGGGGGGTGTATAAGAGCAAGTGTGCTTTTTAAACACATACCATATGAATATTCCTTATGTCCATAGTGTTAGCAGCCTAGTCAGGGCAATATGGAGCAACAACAGGACACTTCCTTCTGGGATACCAACAGAACTTGTTCCCCTCAGGGGGTAGTGAAACTATAGCCCTTTGTCCCAAAAAGTTGGATTTCTTAAGTATTGGTGCTCTTGGCACAGAATGGATTGAAACACAGACTTTAGATGATGTGTGTATATGTATTTATATATATATATATTCAACTGATTCCCACAGAGTTTTAGAACTACATCCAGCATCAATGATGTATTGCTCTCCTCTACATCTGTATGTTTGCAGCCATTTCCTGAGGCAGCAATATTAGATAAAACTTGTTTTCTTGTGATATCTACCCCTGTACTAGGAGGAAGTAGAAGAATATTTGTCAACTAGCAAATAATATTTTGTGATCTTACGGAATTGCTTCCAAAATGAGAGTGACCACTGCTGCTTCTTCCTCCCCTAAATGTAGCTTTCTACTCCACAACAGCAAATGGTAATTTTTCTGAATTTCCTGAGGGCATCAGTAGCCTCTTTTCCTTTCACAGCAAGAGGTATTAGTCAGTGTGCAATAGGACTATTGTTATTTTCCCTTTTATCAATTTTACTTCTTTCTGTGGGAGCTGATGGTGGGAGGAAAAACATTCACTACTGTGTGTCTGTTCTAAACCTCAGAGAGGGTAAAATTAATGTACAAGTTAATATAACAGAATCTGTGATGCTGAGAAGGGCTCATGGATTTTCAAATTCCGTCTGAAAGGCCACTTAAATACAGGGAGCATCCTGAAACAGAGGAGGAATAACATCTGTTTCTTAAATGTCTTCAAAGTGCCTGAAGTGTAATACCTTAGTCATGGAAGAAAGCGAGAAGGCTGAAGGAATAGGAGGACATCTTAAAAATAAAAATTCTTAAGCCAGCTTAGGAAGTATAGAAAGTATGGAGTTGAAGAGTCCAGAGTATAGAAAGAAGAGTTGAAGTAACTGTTTATGATCGCGGCATACAGAGACCAGGAAACCTCAGCTGTACATCAGACCTTTTAAAAATGGAATCTTTTATCTGCATGGTGGCCAAACTAAACTGGAGCAGGAACAGCCTTCACTGAGCCAATTCAGTGCCAGGGATAACCTGGCTGAGCAGAGTGGAGGAAAGAACACATTTCCTTCAGTCCCCCCGGTAACTCCCAGCACTGCCCAAATGTCCTCCTGAGCTCCCACAGAGTGTTCTCAGGGGTCATCGAGTCCAACCTGCTGCCCAGAGCAGGTGAAGGCTGAACTCAGGGTTTTTTTCTCCTGGTTTCAAAAAACATCAAGGACAGAGTTTCCCCAACTTCTCTCGGCTCCTCAGATCGCATTACTTGCTTTCCCTTGTTATATTCCTTTATTCCTTCTGCTCCTCTTTTCCCCTCACAAGTTCTTTTCTCAGCCATTTCAAAATATGCAGCCTGCCAAGGTTTGTAGCTTCCCTGTTGACCTAGTTTTGCAGACTTTT